TCTTCCCACTCACTCACTGGCCATTTGTGTATCTTGTTTTATGGAAACAATGTTGAAATTTTGTGTCCACTTTTTAATAGACTTGTTTTCAGTAAACTCCTGAGAGTTCTTTTCATTTTAAATAGGTCCTTATTTGGGTATGTTTATTCAAATGTTTTCTCCCAGTATGTGGCTTGCTTTTTAATTTTCATAAAAGTTAATAAGTTAATAAGAAGTGTGTGAATGATTTAAGTGAATGTATAACCAAACCTACGTTTTTCTCCTAGAGGGGTTGGTAGTCAAATTTTTGAATAAGCATGAATTACAGACTAGATTTAAGAGTAAAAAATTGCGTGTTGTAGCTATTGTGGTAAGCCTTTTTTTCATCATTTCTATAAAATCATCTTTCCAGAAATTCCTCGTCACACAAAATGCATTCATTTCTGATTTGGTTGTGTTGAACCAAATGTTTATAAATTGTATTTATTTTACTTCATGGAGGTAGCTAATTAAGGATTCACAGTTACTCATTCCTCTAACTCAAATGAATCAGTTATCTTGTAAGTTGTCCTCTTTATCAGTCCCTATCAACATGTATGGTATTTATTGAGTGAAGTGGGGTAAGCCTTTCCTTCTCTGGTGTTGCTTAGCTATAACTAATTTCTGAGACAGGAAAACACCACTTGTGATGCTATGGAGCAGTTGAGGTGACGCTGCTCACTGTCAGAAAAGCTGCTCACCGCCAGTCTCCGCCTGCTGCTTTCCTGGTGAGGATGGTGTTTACTGGCTTCAGGGCCCCAGGAAGAGCCGGTTTAGCATCCTGATCACTGGCCAAATTGCAGCCACCCACTGGCTACAGCTAACACAACCTGATGACCTGCCTGGGCAGGAGGCAGCCCCACACCCCCGATTCCCAGCAGCCCACAACCGGAGAAATTCATTTTTTTAAAGATTTTATTTATTTATGCATACAACAGCTAGGGTGTAGGCCCAAGTGCGGTGTGTGTGCGAGAAAGAGGATTTACCAGAGACAGCGTGGGGAGCAGAACAGGCAGATCTACTGAAATCCACTGCTGAGGGGAACAGGAGCAGGAGAGGAGACAGGAGAGGGCTGCCACACCCTGTGATCACTCCCTGGTCTGGGATCGAACTCATACTGCAACGGCTGGCTGCCGATAGCTTCATAGTGCTGAGGCTAAAATCCCTTGTGCCACCAGGGAGGCCCTCTCCCCTCCCCCCCCTTTTTTTTTGTAGGCTGAGGGAACTTGACAGGAATGTTGGAAGTGCAAAATATTTAGAGAATGTAGTAGGTCACTGAAATGTTAGTAAATGTTTCAAGCAAATTGGTCACAAGGTCTGTTAGTCCTGCTCTAGGCTAGCAAGCACATGACAGTGTTTTAAAGTAGGTGCTCAGTTTCTCAGACATTGGATATTGGGTGAGTTCATTCTTTCACACCATCTCCAGTTCTTAGAATATTGTGTGTCAGTTAGGTGGTAGATGAAAGGACCTGTAGATTTTTTTTTTAAGACTTATTTATTTATGCACACAGAACTGGGGTACAGGCCAGAGGTGCAGGGGTGGTGAGAGGCTTCACCAGAGACAGAGTGGGGAGCAGAACAGGCCTACTGACACAGTACACTGCTAAGGAGAGCAGCAGGCGGGTCAGGAGATGTCTGCCGTGCCATGTGGGTCACCTCCAGGACTGGGGATCGAACTCGCACTGTAGCAGCTGCTATGCCTGCAGTGCTGTGTCCTAACCCATTGCGCCACCAGGGAGGGCCCAAGGTTATTCACTTTTTGGTAAGAATCCCACAGGCATGAGGAAGTTGATGTTGATGTTGATGTGACTTATTACTGGTGTCTTACTTCCAATCATTTAGTTCAGGTGCCGTTTCCTAAGTTTCTCCGTTGTAAAGTAAAGTTATTGCTTTCCCTTGATAATCAATAAATCTTGTCGGTATTTACTGTGAGACTGCGGAAGCCTGTTTCTCACGTTTGCCTGTTAATTGTTGCCATCCACGGAGGGGTTTTACTCGCAAGAGTTATTACTGTGGTGTTCACCTAATGGTGCTTATTTCTATTTCTGTTGTTCCTTTTATCTTTAGTCATTTTTGCTGTAATGAAAAACTCCTCCATTCATTCATTGATTCATTTATTGACCCAGAGGTCCAGGGGTACTCAGAGAAGTGTGGAAGGGCCATCCTTATGTCCTGTTTCTCTCCCTTGTAATTGCCACGGCATTCGTACTCAGAAGGACGTTCTCCTCCATGACGCATACTGTAAGCGTATACGGGACACCCCACATTCACCATCCTGTTGCTAATGTCACAAATCTCAGTGCACCTGTAATAGTTTCTACCATGTGTACATTCTGATTCAGCATTCAAAGATTGTGTTGTGTTGGTTTCCCAGAAATCTCTTAAAGCTCCTCTACTTTAACCTACAAGAGCTCTCCACTTTTTTTTGAATGAAGAACTCTGACTGACTGTTGTCTTGCCGGATTTGCCTCCATTTGGATCGTTTCCTTCCAAATCGGTTTAGGTTGATAATTGCATCCTTCTGGATGCATCCTTCTCAGTATGTCCAGTACATCCGGTAGCGGTGTCCCATTGCTTGGCTAAGGTGATGTCTCCTGAGATTTCGTCATTGTAAGGTTACCTTTCCTTCCATGTAATTAATACAGTCTATGCAAAGACACTTGGGATTGTGTTCACAATCCTACTTCATGCAATGGTTATTATATTCACTGATGTTTCTTACAAGAGTCAGTTATTCTTGTGATGGTTTTAAAATGATGATGTTCTATCATTCATTCTGTGTTTTAAAAATTGGTGCCTATCATCAAAGGTGGCTAGGTAGACCCTGGCTCAGAAACTTCTGTGTGGATTCTGCAATGGTAAAGCCTTAGAGGTTTAGACTTCGGCTGCTCAGTCACTAGAGAGTAATTCAGGAGGGTGTTCTGTGAGCCTCATCACCTGCCACCCTTGAGTGACAGATCCTTGCTTAAGATTTATATTTCTTGGAGGATTTTTTTCTTGTTTGTCGTAAATAGGAAAATTTCCATGAGTGCTGCCTTGTCTCTGTAGGAATACTTTGTGTTTTGTGTTGATTTCTGAACAAGGCTTGGTTAGGCTTGCTAATCAGTACCTTAATTTGGAATGAAGGACAGAGAATATAAAAGGAAAATGTAAAATTAGTCAGATCATGTTCTGGTTTAGACTAGAAACTAGAGTATTCTTATCTAAATATGTACAATATCTTTATTATTTTTGTTTAAGTTATAATTTAAAGCTAAAGTGCAGAGGACGTGTAAGTATTGGAGTATCTAAATGTTAGAATTCTCTAGCATCTTTAGCGCCTCTTCTCTGTTCAGGCCAAAGTGCTTTGATAATACCTTGTTTATTTAAATTGTTCAGCTTGCCCAGACTTGATAAAAGGTATTAAGTGGTGTCAAAACAGGGCGTTGAAGACACACCTGGCTTCTTCACTATCACAGGCCTTCAGAAAATGCTTAAGGACTTCAGTCATCTTTTAGAATTTAGCAGTGTTGAGGTTTTAGCATTTTGGTAGGGGACAGCGATGGAATGATTTTTTTTGCCCCCTGCCAGAGTATTTTGCATGTCTGGTTTAATAGAGGGTGGAGTGATTTGGAGGAGAAACATTCATAGCAGCAGCTGTTGAAAATACTAGTCCATGACTCTTAAAGTTTTTTTTTTTTTTCCAACTCTCCTTGTCCTGTATAATGTTCATAACATTTTTCTCAGTCATTTTGTTTAGAATTTTCTTCAAATTTATACCAGCATAGCAAAATGCTAATAGTATTCTAGCACTGTATTCATAAAATGAGGGTTTTAAAGTATGTGAACAGGGATTTTTATAACATAAAGGAAATTAGGAATATCTCTAGTAGAAATACAGAGAGCCAGAAAGTCAAAGCCAGAAGTAGATCAGATGTTTGTCTCTCTTTTGAACTGGGGGAAAGTAGAAGATTTATTTTGAATACCCAGTTGTTTTTTCAACATAAAGGTTATAAGGAAATGAGTAGCAGAAATTGTCAAAGACTTACAATATAGCTCTGTGTCTAAGAGGTTATGAAATTTGCTACAGGTTAATAGACAGGAAGAACATGAAGGTTTATATTATGCACAAAACCTTCTAAAGTATCAGGATGCGGTCGTAAGCCATTACATAGATGTTTTGGCGTATTAACCCCATATCAGGAAAAGCTATGCTTCTTTTTGCAACCATCGAATTTGTCTTCTCAAATAGGACTTTGTATTTATAGTTATTGGTTTCTTTTCCCCTACAGTAAGTTCACAGTAAAGGTTTACAGTATGAATAAGTGAGAACCATTTCTGTTTCATGCTTTTCTTTCCAAGATTGTTGAGTCATGAAATAAAATCCTCAGGAAACTGTCAAAAGTAGAAAGCTTCAGAAAGTTAAAAATGACAAATTTGATATGTTAAAAGACTTACCAAATCTTAAGGAAACCAGAAAGCTATATAGTAAGATCTATACCTAATTTGACTTCTAGAATTAACTCCACAAAGAAGTAAAGTGTGTATAAATATGTATGTAGTTATATATGTATGTAGAATTTAGGTTCTGGAAACTAGGGACCAGTATTAGCATCAGTTTCTGTTTAACCAATGCCCAGGTCTCCAAATCTCCATTTTTTTGTCATGTGCCTAACTTACATGGTTGTCTTGAGTAATAAATGAAAATACACAGACATACTCAGCATTGTGCCCAGAATATAGCGAATAATCAATTTATGATTTAAAAGAAAAAAACCCCTCAGTATGCCAGGGTCAATATTCTACACCTTTTTCTTATGCGTTTGGGCATTCAGTCTCCTCAGGAATAAATGTGGCCGTAAAGATGGCAAGTCCTGCAGAAACTGATGTTTTCCCTAAGGCAGAATTGTTTGGTTCAGATAGCTCTACAGTGGAAAAGATGAAGCTGACAGGGTTTGAAAGGAATTTTCTCTGATGTGCTTTCTTTTCATTTTATCTGACAGTGCCTTTGAGGATGAGACCATGAAGCTTCGCCAGTTGAAACTAGATAACCAGGTGAGCTCTTCTGAAAGAAGGGAGCAAATGCTGATGACCTTGACTTAACTGTGGGCAGGGTCATGGAAAGACTGGGCAGAAAAAGGCTCTGATGTTGCCTAATAGTGTCCGGAGCTAGTATTTGCTGAACCAGGGCTTGGACTCCGGTAAGACCAAAGTGCTTCGGGAACATCGGCAAGAAAATTGCCTTTGGAGTTAGAATCCCTGAAAACTCCTTAGTGCCTTTCCTAAGAATTAGAAGAATGTTAGTGTTAGTATTTCTATGTGATAATTTGGTTCTGCTGCCTTAAACACTTCTCTACATTGTCATTTCATCTAACTACATGACTGTTTTTTTAATTCTAAAATGTAGATCTGAACACGCTGCCTAAAGGCCTCCACTGCCGACAGAATCATTTTCTTCACTGTACTGGTCCCAGTTTCAGCCACACATTAATTTTATTTATTTTGCAATGATTTGGCCTGTGTTTGTTTCCCCCCACAAGCATGAGATCAGAACCAAGTCTGTTTACAGTGTTCACCCCATCAGAAGTTTTCAGTAGAGGGCTGCGCACGCACTAGTCCTTCATAAATATTTGAGTAAAGGAAGGAACAAATGACCAGTTGACGTGGTTTCGTGCAGTGATCCTCGTGATTAGCCAGTTTAGAACCTGCACCCATCCTGCATTGCTTTCTGACCTGTGTTTTCCAATTCCGGGAAGTACCTAGCCTAGGCTGCCCATGTGGCCAGAACGACCTCACTTTTTTGTCTTACTTCTTTATGTTACTGCTGGAAGTATAAAGCGACTTCGAACCTAGTAAATTACCTCAGAGGGGACTCCCTGAAAACTAGGCAGAACACCTCGGCAGTGCGCGCGCGCGCCAGCAGGGGGCGTCTTTGAGGGGTGCGCAGGGTGGGGGGCCGGGTGTGAGGCCGCGCACCACCTTCCCTGTAGTTGCCCTGGTCTTGTCCCAGGCGGCCTCCCCCGGCGTCCCCATGGGGACCGGACAGCCCCCTGTCGAGACCTCAGGAGCAGCGGCCGGTCCATCTGCCGCTTCCGCTA